CAATTTGATAGTCCTACTATCAAGTTTTATCTGAGCTAATAATATGTGTGCTTGCAATTGAGGAATTTCAAAAAATCAGATATCTACAGTTAAAAGCTACTGGAATTTCAAAAAGCTACTGCTATTTCTCCATTAATGTTAATAAGAGAACAATTATATTTTACACAGTCCACATATTCCTATGCAGACCCACAAAGAAAGACAGAGCATAAGATGCATGACTGAAGGCTCCCAGTGCTAAGAATATAAAGGCAAAGTGAAGCATGAGAAGGAAACTCCATTAGTCAGTTCCCTTAAGTCATTTTTAAAGAAGGAATTCCTTTGGCACATGCTTTTGCACTTGAGAATTCTCATATCTGTTCTGCAAATAAGGCAACATTTAACAATGGAAGCAAAGCAAGGCAAACACTTCTACAGAAACATCATGCTTGGTTCGTATTGAAGATAGGATTTCTGGTGTCAGATCGAATCTATGTTGGCTTTTCCTTTTCCACAATTCAATTACCTTCCACAAGTGCCTTTGGAGATGTTTTTGCCTCCCACCATTCACTGTTTCTCGATGCTCCTGCAGTGATGAATGCATGGCATGCAGCGCATGTGCAACTACATAGACTGCATTGTAGACGCTGTAGCTGTGGGCAGTCATGCTTGTTTCAAACACTGATGCAGGAAGACTCTCCAGCTTTTCCTCCCCATTGCAGATGTCCTCAGCAGTCAACTCTGTGCTGTGACTGGGGAACATGCAGTTAAATGCCTGTCGCCAGAAGTCCACCAGAAACCCATCATTCTTTTCCCAAGCAGGGTTCCTCTGCTCAAGAAATTGCTGGAATCCCAACACCTGCTCAGAATGAATGGCGAGGGATATTGAACCGTGGATAGCATGCATATCCAAAGTTCTTTGAAAAGGAAGGAGTGTGAAATCCACTTCTGCTGTCATAATCCAGATTTTGGCCTTCCCTGGTATATTTTCGAACTGTGCAACAGTAAGCAAAAGTATTAGATTTATCATACTGTGAAATTCCCCATGAAATATCACGGCATTGGCAGTGCTTTCCATAGCTGTGCTGATGGTTCTGTNAAATCTGCATCTGCTGTCATAATCCAGATTTTGGCCTTCTCTGGTATATTTTCGAACTGTGCAACAGTAAGCAGAACTATTAGATTTATCATACTGTGAAATTCCCCATGAAAGATCACGGCTTTGGCAGTGCTTTCCATAGCTGTGCTGATGGTTCTGTGTCCTCCCAACACAAGGTCACTCATGTCAGTGGAATGAACAGTAACTTTTTTCACAAAGTCAAAACAGATACCACTTATGGAAAACATCGGAAACACACTCCGCATCAATGCTTCTGTCACAGTTCCAGTATTAAGGTAAATCAGCCCAATCCATGTCCACATGAAATGCAGGAGAAGCTGGATAATCCCCCTATATTGATAGTTCCCACCGGGGAACATCCAATGGAAGAAGACAATTTGGGAAGTTGTGTCCATCCTCAGAGCAGAGCTATATGCGAGCTGTGAAAAATGAAGAAAACTGGACATAATATGAATAAGAAAACCTTGGGTGGGGTGGGGTGGGAAGGACTTTGCATGTGATATATTGCCCCTCATTGCACAGAAGAAAATGCTCCCATGGTTTAATTTTTGGTGGGATCCCTGGTTGAAGAAGTGACAAACATTTCTAATGTTCAGGTCAGTTTGGACGGACATGTCAAAGGTTGCATTTGACTGAAACCTGGGTGGTGGAACAGGACCGAATTTGCCTCTCCCATTTGTGTGCATTTGTGTTGTTGGTGAAACATCAGGCATGAAACAAATAGAAGATGACTTGTGCAAATGGGGGAGGGGGGTTCTGGAGTCTGCACTACCACCCTGATGCATTTCTACTGTGATATTCACACATAGTCAGTGGCTACATGGTAAGTGAAGGAGCAGCATCCATATTAGGTACACTTAAATGAGTAGCCAATTTATTCAAAAAAACTGTTTGATATGCAAGGCAAAAAACAAAACAAACCCCCCCCAAAAAAAACAAAAGAACAAAGCCCAACAACAAAATCCAATCATAAACTAAGAAGAGAGAAGAAATACTACCACTGAACAGCATGCCACATACAAGACCAAGTGATTTCCATTCCACATATGCAATGGGAAATTTTCTGCCATTAATTGCC